TCATGTAGCTCCAGCTCTCACATTCCCTGTGCTGCCTGTCAGACAAGGCAGAACAGAGAAGGGTTCTCTCCTAATTAACAAAGGAGTTTGCAGCCCTTTTGGTAATAAAGTGCATAATCTGCTCCATTTTGTATGTTTAGAAGAGTGGTTCAAGATTGTGCTTGCATTCCTCTTTGTCAGTTCCCCCCAATGTGTGTTGGCAAAGAACTTGCCCCCAGTTACAGTCCAGATAGACCATGAAATTTTATCAGCAAAAACTGATTAAACCCACAAGTGCTTTTATCATCTACATTTTTCCTATATACTGGCCTTTTAGAATAACAATGTGATAATAAACACATATAAGGCGCATATGTATGTGCTCCTGCCGGACAGAGAATGCCTTGGCCATGTACGATCGGCCCAGATGGCCACTTGTTAAATGCAGCAAAAACGTGTCTCCCTGTCCTTTGGAAGCAGACCACAATGTCATCCTCGTCTCAGTCGTCTCTTTGCTTTACTAAAGTTAATGAAATTTTAAGGATGGAAGAGCTAACCTCTTTCCTCCATAATAATGAGGAGAAGTTAGACACACCTAGCTCCTATTTGCCTATTTACGAACATGCCAACTTCCAATAGCTGAAATGCTGCAGATTGGAGGAATGCCACAGCATGACCTGCACAGAGTTTGTATGTTCTCCATGCGTGGGTTTCCTCTGGGTACTCTGGTTTCCTCCTACACTCCTTAGACATGCTGGTTGATTGGCTCCTGACTAAATTGACCCCAGTATGTGTATGTATGAATGTGAGTTAGGAGGCTAAGATTGCAAGCTCCTTGAGGTCAGGGATGGGAGTATATATATATATATATATATATATATATATATATATATAGCACTTTGTAAAGTACCTGTAATCAATAAATAATGCCCTTCAAGCACATTTGGCATTTGGTCCAGTTCCTCATTCTGGGCATAACCTAAGACCATCTCACATTCATCCCTCTATCCCGGGTCAATATTGCTGCACTCCTGATGCAACCCCCCTTACCCTCTGCTCCTGCGCTTTCTTACCCCCCAATACCCACAGACTCTTTCCTCTCTGCCCTCATTGTTCCCTTGCTCTATGAATCCCTTTTCCCACTCCCACCTGATCCATCAGCAAAAGTAATTTACAGGTCAACAGTTTACTGTTTAAAACAGACATATGCATTTTACTTTGTGTTGTCCAGCTGACAGAATGGAATGTTTACAGATTTGGTTTAAACACTCCTCAATAAGGCCTCTTGCACACAGGCGTATTTTTACCAATTTGAATGCAGCCCATTATTTTCAATGTGCCTGTAAATATGCACTGTGTTGATCAGTAAAAAAATAAATAAATAAATTGCAAAAATCTGAGCTGCCACTCAGTATTTGTGCATGTATACTTGCAAATAAACACAAATTCCACCCTTCCTGCTTGTGTGTGCATACTCAAGTACACAAAGAACAAAAGGTATACCGCTCAGGAAAACAATCCAGATCAATCCACAACAGGTGCAGGCTCTGGCTCGCCACCACACACGATGCAATAGGAAGAAGGGTCAGCCGCACACCGGAGGATAGATGAATATAGTGTGTATTTATTGATCCATAGGACACACAAAACACCAGGACATGAATACAGGCCTGTTAATGCGTTTCCACGATCTCGTGCTTAATCATAACCAATAAATATACCCTATACTCATCAATCCTCTGGTGTGCGGCTGACCCTTCTTCCTGTTGCATACTCAAGTACATGGGATATACAGCCAATCCTCATGTTTTTTTCTGCCAGGAATGTCTGATGCTAAAATTGAATGCTGTGATTGTTACAGCTAGATTTTTAACTTGCTTATTACCCTCTTCAACCCAGTGGTGTATTTAGGTTTTGTGCTGCCGTAGGCAACACAAAAAATGGTCAACCCCCCTGGCAGAGGACAACGATCAACACCACATCACCCTGTGCCCTTCCGTGGAGAGAGCCTGACATTGACCATCAGCCAACCCCCACCCCCCCAGCCAGGAGAGTCTTCCACCGCTCCCTATTCACCTGCCACCTCCCCACCCAGCAAGACAGAGAGACACACACACACGCACACACATCTTCACAGCTCTGGACATCCTCAGGCATGAGAGTCGGGCTCTGCATACACAGTCAAGCATCCCAAAGCCTCTCACAGATCCCACCTGGCCGCCATATCACGTGTGTCCCTTTTTTGTCCATTCCTCTTCCCCCCTGAAAAATGCCACCCTAGGCAAACACCTTGCTTGCCTTGTGATGAATACACCCCTGCTTCAACCATCAACCAGACCAGACAGGTAAACCTGGGTTATGAGAAAGGGACAGTTTAATTATTAACTATGATTCCACAATATACAAATACAGTTTTAAATTACACATTAAAATAAGGTTTTTAAACTGGACTCTAGACAAATTAATGCAGCCCTCTATTAATAAACCATTACATTCATACAGTTAGGTCTATATATATTTGGACACAGGCGCAATTTTAGTTTTTTCAGGTATTTACTAAAACATATTCAAGCTATAGTTATATAATGGTTATGGGCTGAAAGTGCACACTCTCAGGTTTCATTTGAGGGTATGTACATCCAAATTGGAGGAAGAGTTTAGGAATTACAGTTCTTAAGTTCCTTTTCAAGGGACCAAAAATAATTGGACAGTTGAATCAAAAGCGGCTTCGTGGCCAGGTGTGGCTACTCCTTTATTATTTCTTCATCAATTAAGCAGATAAAAGGTCTGGAGTTGATTCTAAGTGTGGTATTTGCATTTGGAATCTACTGCTGTGAACCTACATCATACATTCAAAGAGCTGTCCATGCAAGTGAAACAGGCCATTGTAAGGCTTCAAAAAACGAAACAAAACTATCAGATAGATAGCGGCAACATTAGGAGTGGCCAAATCAACAGTTTGGTACAATCAGAGGAAAGAAGAACGCACTGGTGAGCTCAGCAACATAAAAAGGCATGGACGTCCACAGAAGACAACAGTGGTGGATGATCACAGGATCTTCTCTGAGGGGGAAAAAAAAAAAGTGTGGAGAAGGCTTGAAACAGCTCATGATCCAAAGCACACAACATCATCTGTAAAACATGGTGGAGGAAGTGTGATGGAATGGGCATGCGAGGCTTCCAGTGGCACTGGGTCATTGGTGTTTATTGATGATGTGACAGAAGCAGCCGGATGAATTCTGCAGTGTTTAGAGAGATATTGTCAGCGTAGATTCAGCCAAATGCAGCAAAGTTGATTGGATGGCGCTTCACAGTACAGATAGACAATGATCAAAAGCTCTTGGGTTGCTTTTGCAATATGTTTTGGAAGAAAAGTGGAATATTCTGCAATGGCTGAGTCAATCACCTGATCTCAATCCAATTGAGTAAGCATTTCACTTGCTGAAGGCAAAACTAATGGCAGAAAGACCCACAAACAAAGAACAACTGAAGACAGCTGCAGTTAGAGCCTGGCAAAGTATCAGAAAGGAGAAAACCCAGTCTTGGTAATGTCCATGGGTTCCAGACTTCAGGCAGTCATTGCCAGTAAAGGATTCTAAAAAAAATATTACAAATAAACATTTTATTTATGACTATATTCATTGATTGTCCAAATACTTTTGGCCCCTTGAAAAAGGGGGGGGGGGGGTGGCTCCTCTTAAGAGCTGTAATTCCTAAACCCTACCCAATTTAGATGTACATACCCTCAAATGAAACCTGAGAGTGTGCACTTTCAGCCCATATCCATTATAGAACTATAGCTTGAATATGTTTTGGTAAATACATGAAAACAACTAAAATTGTGCCTGTGTCCAAATATAGATGGACCTAACTGTATATGTATTTTTAACTCTGTTAAAGTATATAAATTTGTTTTAATGTCAGATTCCAGCAATCCCTTAAACTGCAGCACACAATAAGGTAAGCTCAGTGAGTTAAAAGTATAACTAAATGCAAAACTTTTTTCTATAGTTTTGAATGGACTGTAGATGGATTAGGCAGTACAACTAGATTGTAAGCTCTAATGTGCAGGGCTCTCCGTTTCCTCTTGTACCAATTTGTATTGTAACTGTAATATCTACCTTCATTTTGTAAAGCGCTACGCAAACTGTTGGTGCTATATAAATCCTGAATAATAATAATACAACACCAATGCAGAATAGCGATTGCTATCTTAGCCGTTAAAACTGCTTGAACTTTACATACTGTACATTTATTTTGAAATGGTTTAATCAATCCTTGTTGCTGTTTGGATAAATCATTATGCAGGAAGACCTTACTGCTGATGGGAAATATAGTGACCGATTTGCCTGTTATTGCCATGGCTATAGCTTTCTTCCACATGAAAACCGCAAACGCAGCCAAGACTCACATGCTGTTTAAACACATCCAAGTAAAAAGCCTGCTGCTGTTACAGATATTTGGACACCGTACAGCAGAATCCAAAGCCCTCATTAAAACGTGATCAGTTCTTCCACACTTGTCTCTAGATATTTTAAACGTGCTTCTGTGATCCCAAAAAAAGGGAATAAAGCACAGCTTACTGAGCAGCAATGATTTTATTTCATTATTAGGAAACGGTACCTTTCCTAATAGGTCATTGCTCAGCAGATCACCGGCACAGAGGATACAGCCACAGGCTCTTTTTAAACATAAACATGAATCACTGTTCAAACAATTTGGCACACAAACAGTTCAACCTCTTCTAAATCCCAATGCCAATTGTGAGCAAAACACTTAAACAAATAAAGCCTTTGCTAAGTAAGGGAGAAAAATGTTTGTGTTGACCAAAGGTTCAAGGACAACAGATCAGAAAAGGTTACACATCATCTGTGAAGCCACAGAAAATGATTGCGGTATCAGCTTTGTGGAGCGCTTTCTGTTCTTTTCTATGGTCTCTGTGAGCATTTTTAGCAAAGTTCTATTAAGATTTAAAACGAAAAAAAGCTAGCAGGGAAGGAGATGACTACCATGGAGTTGTTTTTGGGAGTTCCTGGGATTACTGTCCTAGAGGGTATGAACTGATATGCAAATCATCAGCTCTTGCCAATTGGTTTCTTAAAGATATCCAGTGTTTGCCAGAACTGGAGCCAATTCGCTGGTGCTGGAGGAGCTGCCCACATCTTCAGACTCTTGTTCAACACTTACTACCAGCTGACAGACCGTTGGAGTTATGCAGAGACCACTTGCAGCTTGCAGATAGTGGACTTGTTGCTTTAGATTGGGTAGTGGGCCCAAGACAAAGTTTAAGAATGAGAAGAGGAACAAATGCAACCGGCAACCCACCACTGCTCCTGGTCATTCCTAACCCCTTTGGAAAATTAACAAGAAACATTCAGAACCTCTGTTTTCAGGCTCTAGAAAAAGGGTACTACCCTGTCATATTTAACAGACGGGGCCAAAATGAATGCCCATTGACAACCCTCAAGCTACAAGATTTTGGTGAACCAGGAGATCTGAGAGAAGCAGTTACTTATATTCGTTTTAGGCATCCAAGTTCCTTGCTCTTTGCAGTCAGTGAAGGGCTAGGTTCTGGACTTCTGCTGTCCTATTTAGGAGAGTGTGGCTCATCAAGTTATTTGACAGCCGTATCCTGCATTTCTCCAGTGTTTCGTTGCCAAGAGTGGTTTGAGAACAAGCTCCCATGGCTGTATGAATGGGCTCTACTGCTTTATCAGAAAACTATTCTCAGCAGGTAAAATCAACCCAGCAAAGATTGTGTGTTTGTTTTGATGACATTCATGGATGATTATGAAAACGTTTTAGGACATTGAAAACTAGGATTTTTTTCTTTTTTAATAAGAAAATTAAGATATTTAGACTTAAAGATGCTTTACTATCAGAAATGAAAAATGATATACTGAAATATATGTATAACATTTGCAATGCTTGCATGTGGTGGGTTATCCTTTATACACGTAGTTATACCTGTAGTGCATCAGGTCACTCACTATTTTAAACTGTCATGTTGCAGTAAGCGCTAGAGTACACGCAAGCCAGTTTGCTGCTATTACTCAAACAGGGAAGCTGGATAGCAACTAATGCAACAAAAAGCTGAAACCCCAATGAGTGTCACACAGAAGGATGAGAATCGATGAAATGCAGAAAAAGATACATTGAATGAACTTTCACTCTATTAGTCTGATGCAAGGTACAAAGTTTTAAAATATAATTATTTGCCAAAAACTGCTATTTCAGAGCTGCCTTTTTCCATAGGAACAGATTGGCTCTCTGTCCAGTTCAGGACACCTCTCCTAAACATCTTAAAAGTGACAATCCTAATGTAATGCACCCAAAAGAATCTGATAAACCACTTACAGTCCACACTTTTTTTTTTTTACCTAGTAAATTGAAAGTAACAACTTTAAGACCAGGTTCACGCAAGTGGCTGGTTTCAATATGATTTGTAAAAAAAAGTCTGGTGCAATTTCATTCAGTTGTTCAGCTGCAAATTTGTATGACACTGGAAATCGTACCTGAACGGGACTGAAAATCATACCTGACCCTTTTTAAAAAAGAACGCACTGTGGTCGGCCTGTATATATGTGAATCGGCTCCATAGAAAGACAGTTTGGTTCACATGTTATGCGAATTCAATGCAGTTCAAGATGCATCCAATTTGCATATATGTGAACGGGGGCTTGATGTCCAAACCAATGACAGTTTCTTGTGGATGAGACCACACTTTGTCAAAGAAGTTAAAGTTGAATTGCAGGTATGGCATTTTTTACATAGTTACATTGGTCCAGGTTGGACCAGTAACTATGCATATACCATACCTGTGGGATTGCTCTAGATCTAGAAGCTGGAAATCACTGTAGCAGACACCAATAGCCAGTGATCTCCACAAGCTTCAAGTTCAAGCATCTGCCATGCTGCATTCTGAACACAGCAGGAAGGCTGCTCAGCATCTGCACCGTTCAGAGAATGTTTTGCATTTTCTCAGTGAATGCAGAGCATTCTCTGATTGGATGAGGGGGAGAGCATGACATCACTGTCCTGTCTCTCCAAATCAAATCAAATTTGCAACTGAGAAAATGCAAAACATTCTTTGAATGGCACCTGTGGTGAATGCCTGACATCCTGTGTTCAGCATGGAACTTGGAAGCTAGTGGGGATCACTGGAGTAGCCATGCCTACTACAGTGATTCCCAGATTCCAGGGGATTCCCACAGGTGTGGTATATGCATAAATACATTGGCCCAAGCAGGAACAAAGTAACTATGTAAAAAAAAAAAAAAAAAAAGCCATACCTGGCTTAATTCTTTAAGTCTGATGTTAGGTGGATTAGTGCATAGCTTTGCCAGCATAGCTGACCACTAATCTCGTAGAAGAGGATTACTAACTTTCATTTTTATATAATTCTAATTTGCAATGACAGAACAATGCCCCCTTTTTTTAACACAATATTCACATCCAATATAAACCTATAGCAGCATCCCTCACACTTCCCACACTGAACACCTTTGTCCTAGTTAAGACGACCACACATGGATTGAAATTGGGCCAGTTTAGCATGCAGTAGAATTTCAATCCATGTAATGGCACCCTAGTTGAACACAAGTCAATCTATCTTAAGATGACCACAGACTTGACAGATATTGGTCAACAATGGCTATACAGTCCCACTGCCTCAATGATTCACTAATAGACTGGTTGGTATAAATGATATTATAGACACAACTAATGACTAATAAGGTGAATTGAAGAGAAAAGAAAAAAGCATCCAATAGCAGCAGGTTACAATATAGCCCCCATTCCCTTTTTAGCCTTTGTCCAGTCCAAATATAAGAAAATAGGGGCCAGGCTGGAGCCATATCCATATTTTCATACCAACATTAAACCAAAATATATTTAGACTTTACAAGTACTACTCAGGGATGCACCTATAAATAAAAGTATTTGACTTTATTGTTAATTTTATAATTTACAACAAAATATTAAAAATGTATATACAGATATGCATCCATAAATCCATTATATAGTGCAATAAACCCCTCTAATACTGTATATGGAGCCACCACCCACATTTAGTTTTAATGTTCCAAACTATATACAGTTGTGCTCAAATGTTTGGCTGCTCTTTGACTGTGTAGTTGTTTCAAGGAGCACAACACAATAGTTGAACAAAAATGAGCTGCATAGTCAGGTTGCCAGAAAGAAGCCTTCACTGCACCGATGCCAGAAAAAAATTCCCTGTGAGGCAAGTCAAGGTGTTGTCGGGCATATTGTAACCAGGCTTTTTTTTTTTGTGGCATTGGCGCAGTAAAGGCTTCTTTCTAGCAACTTAAACACATGTAGTTCATTTTTGTTCAAGTACCATTGTATTGTGCTCCTTGAAACAACCACAAAGTCTCTTTCCAGAGCAACCTGTATTTCTCCTAAGGTTACCTATAGGTGTTTCTTTTGTATCCCAAACAATTCTTCTGGCAGTTGTGGCTGCAATCTTTCTTGTTCTACCTAACCTTGGCATTAAGAGATCCCAAATTTTCCATTTCTTAACCACTTTAATACCGGGCACTTTTACCCCCTTCCTACCCAGGCCAATTTTGAGCCTTCAGTGCTGTCACACTTTGAATGACTATTGCATGGTCAGGCAACACTGTACCCAAACTAAATTTTGGTCATTTTGTTTACACAAATAGAGCTTTCTTTTTGGTGGTATTTGATCACCACTGTTTTTTTTTTATTTTTTGCTAAACTAAAAAAAGACAAAATGTTGAAAAGTGTATATTATTTAGTCTGTTGGACAGTTACAGAGTCCACAAACTATGGTAAATTTAATTCCTATAAACAAGCATTTTACTGAATGAAATCAATTCAGTTTGTTTTGTTGTGGTTAGCTGTGATATAGCTGGGTATACAAACTTTGGAGTACAAGTCTATCCTTATCTCACCTCCTCTATATAACTAACTCCAGGTGGTTTCTACCCCAGGGCCTGAGGATATCTAATTTGTTTCCTGGGGGGGGGTCATGGGGCACCTATTAAACAGGTATGTGACAAGTAAAGATTGACTTACCTGAGATATAATGATAGGCTACAGTGCTCTTCTATGCAGCTGTACTGGTTATTAATCTTATTACTCCTTGAAGTCAGCATAGTTTCCCATTTTAAGATCAGTAGGCAAGAAGCTAGGACAACCTCTCTTAACCAGGGTTCCGATGATCCCTGGGGCTTCTTCAGGGGTTACTAGAGGTCCCGTGAGCAGCAAGCAACTTATTATATTACATTTAGGCCCTGTGCTGATGAGCAAATGTGGATTTCCTTTGAACTTTGTTTGAAATGCTGCTCAATGCGGTCATAATTTCTAATTATTTTTTTCCATTTGACCTACAGTTGACTTCTTTCTGGCCAGTTCCAAACTGCTTTGCATTCTCAGACTTTTAGGGGCACAAAGACCATTGACAGGCTCTTAGAGCTACATATGCTCATGTCCCCCCTGTGCCCCCAGGTGGGAGATCCATATTTTGTTGTATGTACTTTGTGTCATTAAGGACACACATTATGGTGTTTTGCATTACAGCACCCATCGATTATTAATGGAAAGTCAATGCACCACAGAACATTAAAAATGTGCATGACCCTTATTATCAAAACAGAGAACCACAACACATAATACAGTATATGCATTGTGGTGCGCTGTGGAGTGTTTAGCTCCCCAGCAGATTGTACAGTAGAACCAATCACAATGAATGCCACAGCAACACATATAGAGCAAGTCCACCGCCATGTCTTGTGGTAACGCTCAAACATATGCATTTTAATTGCATTGCTACAATGTGCAAGTATGCATGAACCTTTAATGTTCCAGCAGTTGAATGCATAAGGTCTCCTACAGTGGGTAAAAGTAAGGGAGTTGAGGCCCCTGAGTATTTAGTGACATCCCAGCATTTTAGTAAGTGCTGCAGAACCAAATCTTTTATGGTGGGACATACTACACTTAGGCAAACACATTAGGGGAGTTCTGGTGTGGCATGCAGAGTTGATAACAGAGCTATCTGAGCTGGGGAAGAAGATAAGGTAGGGATGAGTAAGGTAAGGTACTAAAAGGTCAGAAAATATCAGTAAGGAGGCATGGCCTCGGTAGCATCCACGATGGACGCTCTGTAGTGAGGCTCTGTAACAAAGAGGGAAATTCTAGCCACCCTGCCAAGCTTATTGAGCGCAGTCAACCATGGGAAAGATCAGGTCCGGCACAGCCCCAGTCCCTGCACTTGCAACTGGGCTACCGCCTATGTTCCGGTCCCAGCACGGAGATACCCACTCATGAAGCTCCTCTCCGCCTCAGGCCGCAACGCCATAGGCCTCCGCACAGGCCGCAACCACGAGTGCTGGAACAGGGGACTCACTGACATCCATGTCAGAAATCTTCCAACAGATGACGCGGATGAGTAACCTACAGAATATCGCGGTTGACATCAAAACAACTCTAACATCAGCTATCACTAAACTTAGAGAGGATCTCCGGTCAGTCACAGCCAGACTCACGGATACTGAACATGCGGTAACGCGTCATGCCACGGAGATCGCTGACATACAATCCACGGTGGCACATCACAACCTTCAACTAATAGAAGTGCAATGCCACATGGAGGATTTGGATAATCGGGGCCAGAGACGGAATTTGATGGTAAGAGGCATACTAGAATCAGTAGTAGTTGAACAGATACCCCAGGACCTACAAACTTTATTCAGTGACCTGCTAGAATGACCTCCGGATTCACAGGTCACATTTGAAAGAGATCACAGAGCTTTAAGGCCTAGGGAGAGAGGCACTGACCCACCTTGAGACATTCTTTGCTGCTTTACAGACTTTCACCTTAAGGAAGAAGTGATTAGTGCAGCATGTGATCAAGATGAATTTACATTCAACGGGTCTGAAGTTCAGGTCTTCCAGAACTTATCCCAAATTACTCTCTATAATCGCAGAGCGCTTAGACCCTTCCTAGAGGCACTCAGAGAACGCAAGATACCATGTAGTACATGCGGTTCCCATTTTGTATGACAGCCTCGCATGCAGGCCGCACAGCAACTCTCAGATATCCGGCAAATCAACAATTTTGCGATACCCTGCATATCCCACTCACAGAAGTGCCGAACTGGTACCATGAGTTCCGTTCTATCATGGAACAGACTAGTGATCTGAATGCTTCCAGCACATCATCCTGCAACAAACGCAGATCTTACTCTTCTTGTCGGGGCCCTCATGGGTGGACGGCGGAGAACCCAGAGGATCCCTTTGAACCTCCACAGCCTTAGAGGGACATTAAGTGGTATTATGGCTACACATTTGTATTGAGCTGTCAGAATGCCTTTGATTTAGGGGACGTCGCACCAAGGAAGCTGTAAGGTTGTGATTTTCTCATTTGTATCACATTGTATAACCTTGGCTCTGAATGTCTTTTTTTGAGGGAGATGAGGACGGGCGGCCAGGGCCCCTGTGATGCATTATGTACCAAGGGGCTGTCTGCTGCCTTTCCCCCATATACTGTATCTCTTTACATGCGTTGTTATATGGCTTATGCTTACCTACACCTATTACTGACTCCTATGGTGTTATGACTACTTTACTTAGCTCACTTCCTGATGGGTATCAGGGGCCGGATATACTACGTAGGCCCTCCCTCCTCTATTAGAGATTTTCCATTGCTAGCAACATTTTGCAATTGTCTTCTTCACAGATTTTTTTTGTTTCCAATGGAATCTTAGGCACTTTGCACTACTCAATAATAGGAAGGGTGCTAAGGAATGGGGATGGTTTATGTGTGTACAGCCGCCATTGATTTAACAAGGTTAGCAGAGTGTTACCCATTTTAGTCCCTTACCATATGCAATGTCAGGGATAGGTACGCCCTAATCTGGCAGCACTTTTGATCTGGGATACTTTATGAAATGGAATTCTGTGAGATGGGCCGTCCCCCAAGGCTTAGCTTATATATTATATCCTTGTAATGTGATGCTGCCTACCTGGGCTGACTATTAATATGAATACTGTTTATTGTAGCCATTACCCCATTTTGCCAAACATAGTTAATATGTTCCTACGTTGAAATTTATGTTATGGTTGATCTTCTAGCCAATGTGGCAGGGCAGCTTACATGCTCTCTCTCTGTATATTTTGCATTTTTTGTGTTTCTACGATTGTGCAATTTGAGCTTGCTGCTCAGTATTTTGGTCCAGCTCTTGCCTCCGATTTTTACCACTCCCCACGTGACAAGATCCCCTTCAAGGAAAGGAATTTTTCCTCTCAGGGGACTCGCCAACGTTGACTGTCTCTGGAAATGACTTCTCTCTTTTAAGACCACTGGGAGGTTATTATTTTTTCCCTAGGGTCTTGCCGGAGTAAGAACTTTTCTCCCTTCCCCCCTTTTTTTTTTTTTTTTTTTGTTTTTGTCACGCGGGCGGGATTGGATTTCGGGAGCAAGGATGGCCCACGGTAGCTCCAGGGCATTTGACTTGGAATATAAATTCCTCTCCTACAACGTCAAGAGCCTTAATATGCCTGAAAAGAGAACCATGGTCTTACAGGATTTACACAGGAAGAGATGTCAGATAGACTTTTTACAGGAAACTCACTTCCATTCTGATATGCCCCGGCTTTCTGATCATCTCTTTCCTAAGTCTACCATGCCGCGAACCCCCTCGCTATATAAAAGGGTGTTGTCATTCTGTTCTCACACATTATTCAAATTAGAGGATCGGATGGGTCATGAGGGGGGTAGATTCCTTTTTTTGAAAGGGACGTTGTCCAGTAAGCCGATTACCTTAGCTAATATATAAAGCCCAAACTCTAATCATGTCACTTTCTTTAAAAAGTCTGCACTCTCAACTTTAGGAAAGGCATTTTACTTTTGGGGGGGGGGGGGGGAGGGGGGACTTTACTGTTCCATTAAACCCGATGTTAGATACTTCTAATGGGGCTTCAGTGTTACCTTAGCTCGATCAGGGAATTCCCAATGCTCCGTAAAGCTCTCTAACTCTTCATGACACTTGGAGAACGCTGTATTGTACAGCGAAAGAATTTACATTCTTTTCTCTCCCACACAACAAATACTGTAGGATAGACTATTGGTTCTTATCACAATCTGACCTACATGTCTGTGGATACCACAGTCATTTCTGACCACAACTCTATCTCTTTGACACTGATTTTTCCATCCACAGAATGGCATACAAAAATCTGGCGGTAAGATGCCTCTGTTCTGAACGACCCAATCGACTTTAGTGAGCTTCAAAAATCTTTGAAAGAGTACTTTCAACTTAACATCTCTGATGAAGCCCTTCTCATAACTCAATGGGAAGCACATAAATGTGTCATCAGGGGAAAATTCCTGGTCTTAGCAGGGAGACGCAAGAGGGAGTCACAACTTCATATTGAGGATCTCACGAACAGCATTCGCATATTGGAACAGGCACACAAGCAATCAAAAAGAACTACTCAAAGTCCCATGCATTGGACAACAACTTATCATCTGAGGAAGTTGCCTTTGCTAAAAGGGAATTTCATTTTGTATGGAACACGGAGTGAATCACATACTTAGGAATAATACTTCCAGTGGAACTTCGTGATTTATTTGAGAAAAATGACTGGCACAAGGTACACAATATTATTGCACAAGTGACAGGAGACACAATAACATTCTCTCAGGCCCAATACCTCATATGACTAGCCAGCCATTCGATAGCTACAAGAGATCACTAGCCTCACACATGATCAATGCTGCTCGAATGTGCATTCCTATACTTTGAAAACCAAGAGAGTTCCAAACCTGGGGGATTGGCTCAGTAGACTGAATAGGATAGCTGAAATGGAGGAATTGATTTACATTTTTTTATGACCGAAAAGCTTCTTACTACTCCACCTGGGCTTGTTGGATCAACTTTCTGACCACAGATACAAATTATGACCTGAGTGTGTTGACCGGGTTCTCTTTTCTTTGTTACTTGCTGGCTTCCCTGAGAGGATCCAAATGTTGGACTTTGAAGTGAAGAGAGTTTTGACATTGAGGAAAAATGCCATGCTCAGGATATTCAGGAGACCTCAAGCAACAGAGCAAACTGTTATTTCCCTTACTACTGGGTTGTCTCCAATCCCTTTTTGGATAGATGATATTTAACCTCCCTAGTGGTCTGATTATGTCCATATTTCTGTGCTCAAAGTGGTACATTTTTTTGCATGGAAATATGTAGTTTTTTTTATTGTAGGCCTGTCATTTTTAGGAATAACTCACTGAAATCTGTCCACACAAGAGTCTAATAAACATTCCAGGTATGTTAAAATTTGATACAGGAAACCATAAATGATAATTTAATCATAAAAAAATTATAATCATAAAATTCAATAATATAATCAAACAAAAAACACTGAAATTTGAAATATAGCGCCAAGTTCGCACATCACTGAGCAAAGTCGCAAAATCTTTTTCAGTGTCTGATGACGAATTTCCCCACGAATCATCACTCAATTCTGCAAGTGGTTCTGATTTACTATCGCTGTTCTCTAGCTGGTCTAAAACCGATTTTGACCTAAAGGGATGCTTTTTGGACGCCATGGACATTTCTGTTTCCAGGCAGAAAGAACAGTAAAAATGCAGACAGGGCACAGAACAAAGCAATAGGGACAAAATGTATGTGAAATGGTTTGATACAGTAATGTTTTACTATGTGATTTTAGTGAATTTAGTGAACGTCACTTTTTGTCATTTTCATATTTCCTGCCGTTCTGTCCCGACGTCGCAGGGAATGGAACCCAGAAGACAGATGCTGGCATCCACTGGAGGACATTACAGGGGACACTGCAGGAGGGACATTGCGGGAGCGCAGGACAAGGTAAGTAAAGAAGAGATCCCGGAGCAGCGCCGCATGGTAAACCCGAGTGTAGCTCGAGGTTACCGCTTGTGGTACTGAAACTTTACCCCGAGTTTCAGTACCACACTTGGGAATACCGCCAGGGAGGTTAAGTGAGTAACTGGCACTCGAGTTTTTGGGGAGCTGTCTATCCTGGGCTGACAGGATCTTCTCTCCCCCCTTTTATTTTTTTCTCCCTTACCCTCCCTTTTTTCGTTTTTTGTCTGGTTTATGGTTAATGACCAGACTGTTTATACTGTTTCATGTGTCATTGAGCTTGTTTTGTACAGATGTGTGACTTTATTGTACACTGCTGTTATCTTGTTATTGACTGTAAAACTTAATAAAAATCTTATGGAGGAAAAAAGTCATTAAAAAAAAAAACAAAAACAGATGGCAATACCTGGGAACTGCAGTGATGGAAGCTGCATCAATGCAATCATATTGAAGCCTTAAGGCGGCTGTGAAAATGGTTAATAACTATGCTAAAAGTTTTTTTTTTTTTTTTCATCATGCACAAGGTTTCTATAGCACCATTATCACACTTGCCTCTGTACAAAAGTACATACAAAAAGTGAGCACTACAAGACCATAATCATTTTCATAGACAGAAATCATACCTCAGATTATTTCTCTATTTCAGATACTTCACTGTTTTAGGAGAAATTCTACCAACTGAGAAATTATTTGACAGTCAGTCCCTCCAAGAACTACATGAAATTTTGCATTGTGAACGCAAGACTAAAAAGGTTGGTTGGGACGATTACTGGGAACAAAATGATCCGCTCCGTGATGTGGATGAAGTTGCTGTCCCTGTCCTGTGCATCTGTAGCATGGATGATCCTATCCGAGGTCCACCAGAGTCTACTGTCCCCATTGAACTTTTCAGAACCAATCCTTATTTTCTGCTGCTGTTGACACGTTATGGAGGCCACTGTGGCTTTCTTACAGATTCCACTATAGCTTGGAGTCACGAAGTTACATTAGACTACTTTAGGTCAGTGACTGAGTTTTTTAAAGCTGAGGAGAAAACCAAAAGGTTGGCCAACCGGAGATACTCTAACATGATGAGCAAGCGCAGAAGACCAACTTTGCAAAGACGGGATCTTTCTGCTTATAGGGACCTGGAAGAAGAGATTTTTAGCTGGAAGAGATCATACACCAGATGAACCTCACTGAAATATGTGAATTTTATTTTTTAAATAAACGTATTAAACTTAACCTCTTTCTGTCCAGCCTATGGCCGAATGGCAGCCAGCAAAAACACTCACCTTTCCGGGTGGACGCCATATGGTGTCCTATTAGGCATGCGCAGTTTGTGCACCTGCAGAGCCGCGCGTTCTGTCACCGGCCCTGTACCTCGGACACGGCCGATGACAAATCTGAGTATCAGCCCCGTTGCCGGTACCATGTGACCTGCTGTGACCAATCACAGCAGGTCACATGACAGTTGTATACAATGGATGTCTTCATTCATGCCATCCATTGTATACTAGTGTGTCTAGCTGTGAATGGTCACGGAGATCACATGCACAAGCTGGGCCAATCACAACCCAGCTGTTTCATGTGATTAGCCGTGGCCAAATTACAGCTAAGCACAAAAAAAAAAAAAAATTAAAAAAAAAATAATAAAACCCGGAATGATGTCGTTCAGGTAAATGCTTGCTTATAGCAAAGTAATTCTTTGTTATAAGCAACTTGTGTAAAAAAAAAAAAAATACTGATCACTTCCCCAAAGTAGTACTATGTTACTATGGTAACATTGTATTACTTTATTCATAGTGAAATATGAAAAAAAAAAATCTTAAAAAAAAAAAAAAAAAAAAAGTAAAAAAAAACTAAAATACAAATTAGAAAAAAAAAATAAAAAGTATAACTTTTTTTTCCATACCGTCACCAGTGTCCCTGATCACCACCATGCCAGTTATATGATGACACTGTACTGCACTGGTGACAGTATAAAAAAAAAAAAAAAATAGTGAAAATAATTTTTTTCATTTTCCGAAAAATGACAAAAAAAATACAACTTCAAAAAACTCGCCATGCCTCTTATGAAGTACGTCGGACTGTCTACTCTGCAAAAAGGGGTCATTTGGAGGATATCTGTACTGTTCTGACATTCTTGGACCTCAAGAAATTAGATTGGCTGTCAGTACTTCAAGATTGATCAATATTCAGATCTATACCATAGTTTGTGAACTCTATAACTTTCCTACAAACTAAAAAATACATCCTAATTTGGTTTATTTTCACCAAAGACATGTAGCAGAATACATCTTGGCCTAAATTTATGAAGAACAATTATTTATTTGCAAACTTTTATAACAGAAACAAAGCAAAATGTGTTTTTTTCAAAATTTTCTGTCTTTTTTTGTAAATTTAGCAAAAAATAAAAACACCAGTGGTGATTAAATACCACCAAAAGAAAGCTCTAGTTGTGTGAAGAAAAGGATAAAATTTTAGATTGGGTACAATGTTGTATGACCCGCGCAATTGTCATTCAAAGTGTGAGAGCGCTGAAACATGAAAATTGGCCTGGGCAGGAAGGGGGTAAAAGTGCCCAGTATGGAAGAGGTTAACACAAAGAATCTGTTTTGCACAAACAATGGTTCTCTAAGCTGTTTAATACTGCTCTATATCTGCAAAACACTTTTTTTTTTTAAATAAACATGATGGGTGCTTTATACAGGACAAAAGTCACTGGGGAGGTCTATTGCACCATGAATGACTTTACGCAAAGTACTTCCTGTACAATTCCTTAAACTAATATGCCCTGTTAAAGTCCAGCTTCAACAAACTTTTTTGTTGTGGGAGGCTTGAACATTTTTTTTTTTTTTTTAAATTAAGCTGTGTTGTGTCTATACTTGGGAGATTTCCCCTCGTTACCTGCAATTTTTCAGGAAACCAGGAAAGGGTTAGAACCTCTGTTAGGTTTATATTAACCTATCTGTGATAACTGCTCCCTGAATTTCTTGCTCTGCTGTTACAAGGACAAGAAGGGAGGCGAAAACTCTCTAACAAAGTCACAAACCACAGTTAAGAAAAAACTGACAAAAGTATTCACTCTTTCCAAATCTAATGGGAGGTGGGCTTTAACTTAATCATTAAGTTGTAAAAAAAAAAATTATTATTTCAGTCCCATCTGTAGAATAACAGAGGGGTCTCCTCTGTTAAAAGAGAAGTTCAGGAATAAAAAAGAAAAAAAAATTATATAATATATATATATAAATACAGTCAGGTCCATAAATATTGGGACATCGACACAATTCTAACATTTTTGGCTCTATACACCACCACAATGGATTTGAAATGAAACACACAAGATGTGCTTTAACTGCAGACTGTCAGCTTTAATTTGAGGGTATTTACATCCAAATCAGGTGAACGGTGTAGGAATTACAACAGTTTGCATATGTGCCTCCCACTTGTTAAGGGACCAAAAGTAATGGGACAATTGGCTTCTCAGCTGTTCCATGGCCAGGTGTGTGTTATTCCCTCATTATCCCAATTACAATGAGCAGATAAAAGGTCCAGAGTTAATTTCAAGTGTGCTATTTGCATTTGGAATCTGTTGCTGTCAACTCTCAAGATGAGATCCAAAGAGCTGTCACTATCAGTGAAGCAAGCCATCATTAGGCTGAAAAAACAAAACAAACCCATCAGAGAGATAGAAAAAAAACATTAGGCGTGGCCAAAACAACTGTTTGGAACATTCTTAAAAAGAAGGAACGCACCGGTGAGCTCAGCAACACCCAAAGACCTGGAAGACAACGGAAAACAACTGTGGTGGGTGCCCGAAGAATTCTTTCCCTGGTGAAGAAAACACCCTTCACAACAGCTGGCCAGATCAAGAACACTCTCCAGGAGGTAGGTGTATGTGTGTCAAAGTCAACAATCAAGAGAAGACTTCACCAGAGTGAATACAGAGGGTACACCACAAGATGTAAACCATTGGTGAGCCTCAAAAACAGGAACGCCAGATTAGAGTTTGCCAAACGACATCTAAAAAAGCCTTCACAGTTCTGGAACAACATCCTATGGACAGATGAGACCAAGATCAACTTGTACCAGAGTGATGGGAAGAGAAGAGTATGGAGAAGGAAAGGAACTGCTCATGATCCTAAGCATACCACCTCATCAGTGAAGCATGGTGGTGGTAGTGTCATGGCGTGGGCATGTATGGCTGCCAATGGAACTGGTTCTCTTGTATTTATTGATGATGTGACGGCTGACAAAAGCAGCAGGATGAATTCTGAAGTGTTTTGGGCAATATTATCTGCTCATATTCAGCCAAATGCTTCAGAACTCATTGGACGCTGCTTCACAGTGCACATGGACAATGACCCAAAGCATACGAGCGGAGGGGGAGGAGCCTGAACATGGCAGCTGTGGGGAGCGAGCGGCTTTAGCTCCTTGCTGGGTCCCACTTCCCGACCCACCCAGTGACCCTCATTAGGTGCTGACTCACCGTAGTCTGGACGAGGTGGAAGGTGAACCCGGAGAGCCGGAGATGGGAGCTGGTCTGAGGCTGCAGTGTCACGCCGGATCCCCCGGCGAGGTATGAGTGGGAGATCCGTGCGGTTGAGTGGAGAGGAGACGCTGCGGGATCACGTGACCTGCCGCAGAGCATTACTGGGGGAACGAGGAAAACCGGCCGGCTTTCCTGATGTGACAGGGAGCCGCAGGTCTATTGCTGCAAGCTCCCCCTGGCTGGCTGTCCGATCCTGGGTCAGGGAGACCCATGAACGCAAAGAGACCCATCCTGCTTCCTTGGGACGAATCCAAAAGAAAAACAGCATCGGAAACCCAGAGGAATCCCCCCCCCCCCCCAGGACTGAGCAGCAGGGAAGGCCCTCCACATAAGCCTGGAGCCACGAGCCTGGAGCCACCTCCTGAGAAGGGAAGGGTGAGTGAGTGCTGCTGGGGGCTTGCTGTGCTGTGGATCCTTGAGTGACACAGGAGTCCAAGGGGTGAAAGAGGGGAGGGGAGGATTCCCAGGGGTTGGAAGAGAAGAAGAGAGGAGGCCTAGGGGTCCCAGGAGAGTAAAAACACATAGGAAAAACAGCAAGCCTGTCTGGTCCATAAAACATAAAAGAAGCGGTAAAATCCCATCTTGAGAATATGAAGAATAAAGGTTCCAAGGGAGCAGGGTTCAATGGGTCCCAAACAGGAACAATAAAGAAATTTACATCATATGGAAATATTACGCCAGAAAGGGCCCAAGTCGCAAGCGCAAAAGGGGAAATGGACACTAGCTTAGGAAACAGTCCTAGATTATCATTGGGCATGAATAGCAGTTGTAGCCAACAAATAGTGGATGGCTCGGGAAAAAAAGAATCTGATGGTGAACTACAAGTACCAAATAAGAAGGAGATGATAGAAATGTTTCAAAATTTGGAAAAACCGATAAAATATGAAATGACAGCTATCCGAAATTATTTTTGGGACACCTGCTAACAAGAATGGAAGAATCAGAGGAGAAAGTTAAAATCCAGGCCCAAAACATAGATAATCTAAGGAAAAAAAAAAACCAATTGGAAAACTCCCAGAAAAAATTGATCTACAGGATGGAAGCTCAAGAAAATAAAGAAAGAAGGTGTAATCTTAGAGTACGAGGAATCTCAGAGACTGCAAAAGGGGAACGCTATATGAACTAGTTAAAAAAATTCTGAACTCCATAAGAGACAGACCTGATACAGATGTGATCGAGTTGGACGGATTGTTCAGAATAGGAAAGTTCAAACAGGCTACAGAGAAGGAAAGACCGAGAGACATAATTGTCCAGTTCCAAAAATATGGGGTCAAAGATGAGATTTGGAAGAAAACTAAGGGAAGATCATTAATTAAGTATGGAGATTGGACTATCCAAATTTATGCAGACTTAACAGCAGAGACCCTATGGAGAAGGAGATCCCCGAGACCCCTGCTGGAGCAAATGAGAAAACAGAATGTGCAGTATAGATGGGGTACCTCAGCATCTCTAATTGGCTGGAAAAACGGGGTCACAGCTTATTTGAGATTCCTGGAGGAACTAAGGGACTTTTGTGATAGACTGGACTTGCAAAGAATGGAGATAGCTGGGTGGGAAGAAGAAGATAAAGGAGATACAGAGAATACAAGAAAAGAGGACTGGCAGCGGGTCAGGGGTAGGGGGAGGGAGGCTTCGGGGTTGGGGAGGGAAGGGAGGGAGGGAGAATTAAGTAGAAAATAATTTTTTTTTTTTTTTTTTTTTTCTCTCTCTCTCTCTCTCTCGCCCCTGGTCTCTCCCCCCCCCGGAAGTTGAGGTTCTCCAGGAAGCTTCGGTTAAGGGAGAGAAGTAAAGATTCTTTCTGAGTCTAGCTGGTAGAGAGAGGGGATCTGGGGGGGGTCGGAGGAGAGGGGAGCCGTACATGGGCGGAGCTTACGCCCTAAATTTTAAATCAAAAGGTGGAAACAGATCCACAAATGATTTGTAGGCAGTCTATAAGCCTAAAAATGGGTAGGGGAAAAAGAAGAGAAGGAGGGGAGTGGGAGTGGGAGATGGGGGGTGGGCGGGAGGGACCAGAGGGAGGGGAGGTTGGGTTGATATGCTGTAAGATAGTAGGGGGGCCTAATAGGAGGAGACGAATCAGAAGAGAGATAGACAGAATCAAGAAGGATGGAAGAAATACAGTTTATAACATATAATGTGAATGGGTTGAACTGTCCTGGGAAAAGATTTAAGTTGTTTAAAGAGTTACATCACAGGGCTACGTCAGTAGTATTTTTACAGGAGACACATTTTGAGATAGAATCAAATGTGAAACTAAAATCCAAATATTATCCAACATGGTATTACGCTGACTCTCCAATTAAAAGAGCAAAGGGGGTGGCAATAGGATTGCAAGGAATATGAGATTTGAGTTGGAAGATAGAAGGACTGACCCGGAGGGGAGATTCCTGTTCTTGAAGGGTAAATTACAGGGAATTGAGTGTACACTAGCCAATATATATTGCCCCAACAAGAAACCGGAGATCTTTTTTGAAGGGTTTGCTGAAAAAATTGATAGAGTTTAAAAAAGGGCGTTTGATAATAGCAGGAGATTTAAACCTTTGTATGGACCCAAAAAAGGATGCAACCTCCCTTGTGCAGAGAGAGGGGGGTAGGTCTCTGAGAGCCTTGAAGAAGGCGATCCACGAGTACCAACTGGTGGATACTTGGAGAATGATGCATATGAAAGACAGAGACTATACCTTCTTCTCTAATGCACATGAGATATACTCGAGACTGGATTACATTCTAATAGATCACCAACTCATTGAAATGCTGGTTAAAATAGAAATAGAGACAAGAACTTTCTCGGATCATGCCCCTGTCATAATGAAAATAGGATGGGGAAAAAGGTGGACGGGAGGCCTAGGATGGAGGTTAAATGAGGCTCTTCTCTTGGATGAGGAAATCGTGCAGAAGATAAGGGAAGAGCTCAAGGTATATTTCAAGGAGAATGAGACAGAGGAAGTATCGACAGCTACAGTATGGGAAAGTCATAAGGTATATATAAGAGGAATCTTGATTGCGATGGGAGCAAGGAAGAAAAAAGAAAGAAGAGAGAGGGTTAGTGGACTCTTAAAGGAAATCCTGGATTTGGAGCAGATACATAAGAAGAAAATAACAATAGAAACAAGACAGAAGTTAATGGATAAAAAAGACGAATTAGAGAGATTGATGGAAGAGGAGAGGAGAAGAGTATATAATAAAGTATTAAGTGAAAGATATAGATGGGGAGATAGACCAGGAAAATACTTAATGAGAGCTCTGAATAAAAAGAAAAACAGGAATTATATAGAAAAGATAAAAAGCCCCAAGGGGGAGTTGGTTCACTCAACTAAAGAAATCATTAAAGTATTTACGGAGTATTATAGAAAGTTGTATAACATCAGTCACCAAGGGTCACCAAAAGAAATTAGAGAAGGTATTAACGAAAAAAGGAAGATATATTTAAAAAATGCGGGATTGCCAAAGCTCAGTGAAACACAATTGAACTCCTTGGATGCGGAAATTTCCCAGGAAGAAATAGAAGCAGCATTAAGAAGTACAGGGGGAGGGAAAAGCCCAGGCCCGGATGGTTATACAGTTAAGTACTATAAAAAATTTGGTAAAGTATTGTTACCAAAGTTGAGGAAATATATGAATGACCTGGGAGGTGGGATGGAGGGGAGGAGGGGAATCCCTTCAGGCCCATGTCGTTCTCATTCACAAGGAGGTAAAAGATCCTTCTCAGTGCTCTAGCTACAGACCAATTTCATTATTAAACACACCGATACCAAGTTGTACGCAAAGGTCCTAGCAAACAGGCTGAAAGATCTAATGCCCGAATGGATCCATGGAGACCAGGTGGGCTTTGTCCCGGGGAGAGAGGGTAGAGACAATGGGTTGAGAACTTTGATGCTTATCCAGAAAAGTAGAAAAGGGAAAGCCCCGGTGGTGCTCTTGTCAATTGATGCCGAAAAGGCGTTTGATAGAGTGGACTGGGGCTTTATGATGGACAACTTGGAGGTGTTGGGAATTGGAGAGAGAATGCGTGAGTGGATAGGTAAATTATATAGGGAGCCCACCGCAATCATCACGGTAAATGGGGAGAGGTCGGAATCCATTGGGATGTCCAATGGAACAAGACAGGGATGTCCACTGTCCCCCTTGCTGTATGTTTTGACATTGGAACCCCTGCTATCAATAATAAGGAATAGTGGAGCAATAAAGGGAATACAGATAGAAAATATAGAACATAAAGTAGCGGCCTTTGCGGACGACTTATTGTTTTATGTAGGCAATCCCCGAATAACACTACCAAGTATAATGAAGATCCTGAAGGAATATGGTGAACTATCAAATCTAAAAATTAATCCAACAAAAACAGAGATCCTGAACATTAATATATCAAAGAGTGAAAAAGAAAAGCTACAAAAAGAATTCCCCTTTATGTGGAGAGAAAAAGATATAAAATACCTAGGAATAAAAACTTGCTACCTCATATAAAACAACTGTATAGACTAAACTATATTTCTCTGATAAATGAGACTAAGGACGAACTAAAAAGATTAGAAGGAGGAAACCCATCATGGTTAGGACGTATAAAACCTAATTAAAATGGTAATTATACCTAAAATATTCTATAGATTTCAAATGATCCCAATCAAACTCCCAGAGGCGTTATTTAAGATAATGAGAAGAATGTTAAAAAGATATATATGGAAGAATAAAAAACCAAGAATATCATATGAAACACTAAGTAGGACTAAAGAGAAAGGGGGGATGGGACTACCTGATGTCAAGAGATATTACAAAGCTGTAATTTTAGCAAGAATTTATGATTGGACTTTTAACTATAAGGGGAAAAGTTGGGTAAAAATAGAAAATGAACTGAGTGGAATTAATTTGAGTAAGATGATATGGGTTCCAGCACATTATAGAAGAATTAAAGAAAGCACAAGTACTTATACTTTAAATGTTTTAAGGATATGGGATAATTTACATAAACACATGAAATGGAATTCAACTCTATATTAATGCCTCTTGCAAAACACTGAGTTTCTTCCCTCCAGGAAAAGATGATATATCAGGGAGATGGTTTAAAAAGGAAGATATCCAATTGAGAGACGTATTGGTAGAGGGGGAATTGAGAACATTTAAAGACTTAAAGAGAGGGGAGGAGATATGTTTACTAAAATAGATGAGTGGAAATATCATCAATTAAAATGTTTTATATTGGAACTCTCCCAAAACCCTTGAGATTAAAAAAGGAGTGGAATATGGTTTGAAAGGGCTATTAGAAACACGTCGAGATGGGGAAACACGGTGTGTCACAAAAATGTATAGAATTCTCACAGAATTATACACAGACAACAAAATTAATTTTTATAACAAATTGGGAAGAGATATGGAGGTGGTGCAGATAGATGAGGCGATCAACAGAATAAGATATTTAGATTAGTTCACGAGAGTATTAAAAAAAAAACTTATTATAAAAAAATTAAATTAACCAATCGCGATGGGAAAAAATCAAAAAGAGAAAAATAAAAACTCTAAATAAAAATTAATAAATATTTAAAATTTAAAAAAAAAAAAAAAAAAAAACCTAAGACCCAAAGCATACTGCAAAAGCAACCAAAAGAGTTTAAGGGAAAGAAGTGGAATGTTATGCAATGGCCCAAGTCAATCACCTGACCTGAATCTGATTGAGCATGCAATCTCACTTGCTGAAGACAAAAACTGAAGGGAAAAATGCCCCAAGAACATTAGCAGGGGAACTGAAGACCATTGCAGGGCAGTTCAGAGCATCACCAGGGATGAAACCCATCGTCTTCTGGTTGATGTCTATGCGTTCCAGACGTCAGGCTTGTAATTGACTGCAAAGGATTTGCAACCAAGTATTAAAAAAGTGGGGGGGGGGGGGGAAAGTTTGATTTATGATTATTAT